GTATATATGACACGCTGGCGGGGGAAGTTGTTCCGAGAGCTGTGTGTGTGTGGAGAGTGGGGATGTGCGGGGAGTGGGGGTGGTGGGGAGTGCTGACTTGGTTGACTTTGACAGCCACGCTCTTTATATGCCTTCACGATATGGTCTGAGCGTCATCAAGACACATCAATACTAATCTAACCATCTTCGTTAATCATTGTCTTCTAGGCCTAATCATTGCCTATTTTTCAAGGGCGGTTATTCCCGAGGCCACGATCGGTGAGTATTCAAGGAAATGCAGTGCAATTTTTTGACGTGCATGGTCTGGTTATATTTTTATTTTCTTCTTCTCTTGGACTGCCTCGTGCTTTACCCTGATCCTGTGGAGAAGAATGGAAAGGAAGGAGGGAGGGGTTACAGATTGATGGATTGGATTATCTGCAGTTTGCATGACTCTTGTTCTTTCGTAGCCGAATTGTCGAGTGCAAGCCATGCTTCTGGTCAGGAGATATTGTCGTAAGATCTGGACCTTGAACAATACAATTTTACTTCTCCCTTTTGACTCCTCGAATGATCTAGGGTTATGACGCCGAGGACTCGTACGGCAACTGTTTGTTTTGGTTTTATCCATAGATTTTTCTTTAGGAAGTACTTCCATTTGACGTTGAGGAGTCTGTCAATATTATAATAGTTGCTTGTGAATAGCGTGGAGGTCCCTTGATGCCTTTTCTCAATCTGGGTACTCCTAACTTATAGTAAAAGGGAATAAGGAGCGTGCACACGGACTAAGCGCAACGCTTGAGCCTCGCGTTTTGACAATCAATATATTCCTTTTTTAACCGTGAATGAAAAATGAGAAACATCCGGTTCATCCTCTGTCTATGACTCATTCCCCTCTTTCTATAGCTAAGAACTTTTTGCCAACAGTCGAATAGCGATCTACTGGAAGAAGGAACTGGACAGGAAATCGGGATCAGTGCAACGAACGGTCATCGCGTTCATTCTATATTTAGAAGTTCACTTTTGGTGGCTCAAAAGCGTGGGAAAAGAAGTTGCTTCCTCATGCTTCGTTCCTGGTACTTACCGTTGATTTTTACGCTGTGGTACGTTGAACAGTGATAAGTATATCAGATACTTTATGTGTCATATACACTGCTAGAAGTATTTATGTGGGGATTAATTGCCGGATTCTGCTTTAGTTGGTAAGTTAAAGTTTGCCCTTATTTTATCTCCCTTCCAAGTAATCAATATTGAAAGAAATTATTGGTCTCTTACCATAATTACCCACGGGGCGTATGCTTACTCGCTACATCTTGATATAGTGAGTTGTAAGATGTAGAGCAATGGAGGAAGGGTTGGCTGTCTGGGAGCCCTCAATTTTTCTCTATCGACAGAGATGAGAGAACCCGAAACATTGTCATCGATTTCACCCTCGTCCTCGCCTTCGACCGTAATAGCCACCGACTCATCCAGTGGTGTCACTTCCTCTATTGTCCCTGAAGGAACAATTATGAGGCAACTGGCAAAAGATTGGACGTCCACCGACTGTATGTGCAGCGTTTTGACAATACTGACCAGAACACCATGTGTGCAGTATCAGCTCAGGTGTGCTACGGTGACTTTCATACAGGAACGTAACCTTGCTCGTTGGTTCAGTTTCCTACATCAGCATGCTCTAATCACAAGGTAGCAGTGCATTGAAGAGGGAATCCTCCTCTTCATCCTCCATTTATATCAGTGTGAGGTCTACTGTAATGACCAGCATATCTTCTATTGTTGGTGCACCGTCAGGAAAAAGTCAAAATCTATATATAATCTTATAGTTATTATAAAGTGCAATATGTTTAATACATAGAATATATAGTAATTATCTGTATTTAACTCTATTATAAGGTAAAAATCAGTCTTATATGTTCTTATAAAGGCTCTATCAGTATTATTCATTAATATAATATGGTAAATATATTTTAATAGTCTTATATAAAGAGTAAAAGTATTATAATAGTATTATATTTGAAGAGAAAGACTTATATCTATTATATAATATAATAATAAGACATTTTCTATACTTATAATCTGTATGAAAGTTTTATAAATGTTTATAATAAGTAGGAGTTCTTTTTGTAAGATTACAAGCTTAATAAATATCTTAATTATCATTATAATGATTATTTTTCATAAAGGAACTATCAGTAAATACGACTCAACTTATGTAATGCTCGAGTATCACATGAAATTTTGTACTTAAAACATTTATGACGCACGTTGCATTTCACTCCTTGCCTCTGACCCCCATCTCCCGTATCTCTCTGCCCTGCCACTATGTCGTCGCTTTTGTTCTCTCCACTCTCTAGTTCAGTCGACTCACTCACAAGTGTCGTCCAG